TATTATTTATTTAATATATAAAGATTAATTAAAATTTGAATAATTTTTATTAGAAGTAATTATTTAATTTTATATTAGTATACAAATCTTTTTGTATTAATCCATATATTAATTACCTAATATATTTTGATTTAACTTTCTTAACTTCTCTCTGGTTTTAAGAATCATTTCTTTTTTTAATTAATCTTTAAAATAATACTAAAAATAATTATATAAAATATTAATATTAGTATAATATAATTATAATTAAAAAAATAAATATCAAATTTAAAATAATAAAAATATGAATAAAAATAAGAAAAAAAATAAATATAATATTTAAAGAATAAATATAAGAGTTAAAATATAATAAATATTATAAATATAATTAAATATGATAAATTATTGAATAATAAAAAATAAATTTTTAGATAATTAAGAAAATATTATTAAATTAAAGAATTTTATATTATTATAATAATAATATAAAATTTTATATATATTTTAAATTAATAATTTATTTATATCTTATACTCTTTTAAATTTTATATAAATATATTATTTTATTTATATTTTAATATTAAATTTAATTATTATTTAAATAATAAAATTATAAGTTATTTATAAATTAAAATAAATTAACTTATATTTATTTTATTTATAATTACAAATAAATAATTTTATTTATATTAAATAATAATTTCATATAATTTTTAATTACTAAATATTAAAATATTATATATTTTTCTTAAATTTTTAATAATTTAATTTAATAAAAAACTTATAACTTTTTCAAAAATTATTATATAAAATTTTTTATTCTTTTTTATTTAAAAACTAAACTTTTTCAAGAATATAAAATTTTTATTTTTAGTTTAATATTTTACTTGATATTTAAAATTTAAAAATATTTATAATATTTTGCCAGAAAACTAAAAATAAAAATAAGAATTAATTATATAATTAATAGAATAAAAGATAATAAATAATAATAAAAATAATAATATTATAAATTAATAATCTTTATTAATAAGATCTTAATAAAATTAATATTTATTATTATATATACTTCTTTTATTATAATTACAAATCTTATTCTAGCTGACTATTTTATAAATATATTCTTGTTATCTATTTTTATATTTATTATAATTATATTTTTAATTAAATTAATTTCTTTTACATAAAATTATCAATATCTTTACTATTTTATCCTATATTATGAAGTTATTAAACTAATATATCTCTCAAAGAACATCAAAAATAGCAAGAAAACTTTCAGAAATCAGGTGATATAAAAACATCATCCATCCATTCACATCTGATATATCTATGTCTATATATAATTTTGCTGATTAAAAATGAACCTGATAACTTGACTGTCCCATCCACTCACAATAGAGCTTGAAGAATGTTATTACTTTCCTGGAGTCTAAAAAAAATAGCTGTTTCTTAAAGATCAAGACATCAAAATAATTGAAGAAAACTGGCATGCTTTCCTCAACTTAAGTCCAGAAACTCTTGAAAGATGGGGAATGCCAAGCAAACCAGCAGAAACCATAGCAGAGTTGTTCAAAGAATTAAGGGCGAAGAGCAAGGTAAGTACCACGACTGTATTCGAATATTCCAAACCTATACTGCTTTTTCCGCAATAATTTCATTTATTAACTTGTGTCTCGCTAATACTAGAACGCGAGAAAAAGAAAGACAGAGGAAAACGTAAGATTATACAGAGTTGGCTTTGCTTTGTGTCATGCTTATTCTCACTAATATTTTATTTGATTAGTTATGATTACTGAGCCGAAAAGAAGAAGGTAGATGATGCGTCGATTCTCATTATTTTTGATCCAGCTGAACAAAATGTTATATGGCTTGAGAATATTCGGGGAAGTCACTTCATAATGTAATCTACAAGGGTACAGAAAGCTATTCAGCAGTAGGAACATGCCTCGAGTAAATTTTATTCTTGTCCAAGCATATTTGATCTTGCCAAGTGATTACTTTGCATATATTCTAATTATTTCCATCATTTTATTTGCTTTTCTTTGACAGCATAAATTTTAACCATGTCAATATATACAACTTAGATGATTTCTGGACGTCATTTGATAGAGCTATTAGAAGAGATCTTAAAGAATATCTTGATTATTACCATATCGATCTTATAACATTGTCGATTCCCAAAGTTTCCTCGATTTTTTTGGGTTCAAAATCCTCGTATAGTTCTTTTTCCTTGATGAGTTTAATAAACTGCTCAAAGCAGAGTCAAACATTCGCTCCGAGGTTCTCAATGTCTTTCGTGGTATTAGGAACAGGGCTTTAGGCACTTTTTCTATCCATTCTTACATTTAACATTCTACATATCGAATCCGACATTTCTATATCGCCTTTCAAAGAATCAATCCAGAACCCATATTTTATTCTGAATCAAGTACAGAAGTTATACGAACAGTTTGCGGTAGACTTGAAATAACAATTGAACCGGATATCATCGAAGATATTTACGCACAGACAAACGGGTATATCAATCCGATCGGAAATTTTCTTTTGCTGAGACTCATAATTTGTTATTTTCAACAGGCATGCTGCCTCGTATGCCTTATCGGCGTGCAATTGAATTAAATCTGATCAAAAAGGGAACGCACCCGAGCTATAATACAGGTATATGGCTACGCTTCAGATTGTCGTTGAAGAAGTTAGCCAGTACCAAACGTCGAAATACGGTCAATACTCTTTTGGAGCTTAGACGTAATCTTCTTTCGTTTCAATTTCTTGGCAGAAATAGATTTTGAGCTTAAAAAAGTTGTTCGTGATATTGAACTGGCCGAGTTTCTCGCGGACGAAGGAGTACTGGTACCCGGAAACGATGCTGAAACATTCATGCTTTCCGCACTTCTTGTGCGCCAGTTGATCTTGACATGCGTAATTCCTTGTGTTTTTCCGTCGCCACCCCTCCATGGGTTGCCTTAGACTAGTGGTATCAATCGATTGGGCTAGCTCTAATCGATTAGCAGCCTTAACTATAGTTACAAAATTTACCAATGCTGAATATCTTACCAAAAGCATTAAAGTCATTATACAGTTCATCGGAGTTTATTAGCGAGATAAATGTAAGAATAATGCTTTTTTGGTTTTTATACAAACGAGTTTCATGTATTTGAACATAGATGCTAACTCTCTAAAGTTCACAATGTAACGGATAAATATCGGTGACGCTTAACATTCCTACAAATAAAATTCCGAATGAACGGCATTCCCGAATGCACGAAATCTTGATATTGTGATTTTGATTCGGAATTCTATTTTCGGGATTTTTTCTGTCAGATGGTCATAAGGATCCTTGTGATATGATATACTACATACATGTATTATAAAACAGTTCCATCCGTTTTATTTTTAAAGATAACTATTAAAGTTTCCCACCTTTAGTTTGAGTATGACTGTAGAACAAGACCTTGAAACGAGCATCTTTGAGTGTATTTTTGATAGTGTTTCGAATTATTTTTTTTATAATGATAACGATAACGATATAATGACTAGATGTGAATAACGATAATTCCAATTATTTTAATTGACCATCTGTCAAAACAATATAAACTATTAATACAAATATATAGATTTAATGTTATTTTGATTGAATATAAGAATAAACGCGCGTACCTGTACGTATCGGTGGGATAATTTTGAAGTAAAGAATCGATTATTGTTTATAGTAGATTTCTTGGTTTTTGGTTATACACGTAATGTAGAAATGCTCACTTGTGATTCCATTTCCTCATCAATTTCTTTCAATTTATTTAAATTTTTCATGCGTTTTAAGATACATGCATTCTAAAGGATTACAGTATTGAAAACGCAAAGTACCCAAGTTTCCAATCCTTATTATAGATAGATTCTATAAAGTCATCAAGTTTCTCAGCAGTTGGTCTGTTTTCTGAAATAGGGTCCAAACTTTTTTCAATAATAAATTTGCATTATCCGGAATGTAATTGTTATCATATGTTAATATGCTGTGTCGCATTCGAGATATTTCCGCTCCCCAAATAGTTGTTCACCACCAGTTACAATCTCGTACATAACCATTCCGATGCTATAAATATCGCAGCGTTAATGTACGGTTTTCCATTTTAGCTAGGGTTGTTAATGGAGCACTCCATTAACAACCCTAAATTTAGCACCTCTGGACCCATATAAGGAAACACACCACAAATTTCTTGGTTAAAATTTTTCTATAATCCAATATGCACATGTATTTATATTCATCATGTCACGTGGCCTTGCCGAAGATATTTGTTCTATATCTAAACTATTCAAACTGATTTTAATTCTATAAAAAATTTATAGATTATTATTAAGAGTAATATTAAGAAATAAATATTTAAAAATTTGAATATTTTAAAGAAGT